TGATGATAATTACAGGGAGGCTTGAACTGGGGTTCTGGCTGAGCATAGCTGTCAGCGCAGAAGGTTATCTAAATATTCCGAGCAGTGGTTAGGTAAGGAGTTAAAGGTCTATAAAATTAGTAAGGCTGTGAGAAATGAGGGTCCAAGCTAAATTATGTAAAGCTATTACTTAACGTCCACCTGACCTAGGCAGTGTCTCCTTGTGTAATTTACCTTAAATCAGCAGACTTGCTTGTGAACTGTTATTACTGTTAGTCATTAAAAGTGGCTAAGGGCGATATCTGATTCCAGAGGAGGCCTTTCCTGAGGCTGTTCTCCAAACACCTGGAATGTATATGTCCAGAGAGTGATCAGTCCACATTGTGAGCCCTTCTTAGGGAAAAATCAATTGGGAAAATTCTGAAGGCACACATGATTTTCATAACAGAAGACAGCTGATATATGACAAGTAACACCAAAAGCTCCTTGGGATTTGGCTTCCTGGGGAGGAATTCCTTGATCCCTCTAGGTAGTGACTTTGCCATAACCAGCTGAGTTCTTATGATATATTCTGGTGGCCCACAGCAGTTATATGTAATTTTGCTATGTTAAAGTTAAAACCTTCCTTAAAAAAAAAGAAATGGGGAAGTGCTGTGAATATCACTCTGTATGCTATGAATGTGTTGCTTTGATTGGTTAAAAAGTGCTGATTGGGCAGTTGCCAAGCAGGAAGTTTAGGTGGGACAAAGAGAGAGGAGAATTCTGGGAACAGTAAGGCTGAGTCAGGAGACACTGCCAACTGCCATGAGGAGAAGAAAGATGTAAAGATACCAGTAAGCCACAAGCCATGGGGCATGTTATAGGATTTATAGAAATGGGGTACACTAAGATGTAAGATCTAGCTAGCAAGAAGCCTCAGCCATTAGGTCATACTGTTTCAATTAAAATAAATTTCTAAGTGATTATTTTATAAGTGGCTGTGGTGTCCTTGGTGCCTCTGTGAAGCAGGAACCTGAAGGAACATTTCACGTTGTTTTGATGAATTCAGTGGTCATTTTACTATGGGTTGTGTATGCCAGTCTATACAACATAATAATAGCAGTCCAGACAAAAACAGTTTCTTGCCCAAATGGCTATTTTTGCCAAAAAGAAGATTAAAATCCATATAGAGTGTCTTTGACACCTATCTTTCTGTGCTGACAGCTATGCTCAGCCAGAACCCCAGTTCAAGCCTCCCTGTAATTATCATCATTGGCAGCATCCGGCCAGGTGCATCCCCAGACGGAGGAA